GGGGGACTGGGGGGAACCGGGGGGACTGAGGGGAACCGGGGGGACTGAGGGGAACTGGGGGTGACTGAGGAGAATCGGGAGTTGGGGGTTGAGGGGATCTGGAGGGGCTGAGGGGGTCTGGAGGGGCTGAGGGGACCCGGGAAGGACCGAGGGGGGACCCGGGAAGGACTGAGGGGGGGTCCAGGAAGGACCGAGGGTGACCCGGGAAGGGACTGGGGGGATCCGGGAAGGACCGAGGGGGGATCCGGGAAGGACTGGGGGGACCCGGGAAGGACTGGGGGGATCCGGGAAGGACTGGGGGGACCCGGGAAGGACTGGGGGGACCCGGGAAGGACTGGGGGGATCCGGGAAGGACTGGGGGGATCCGGGAAGGACTGGGGGGACCCGGGAAGGACTGGGGGGATCCGGGAAGGACTGGGGGGACCCGGGAAGGACTGGGGGGACCCGGGAAGGACTGGGGGGATCCGGGAAGGACTGGGGGGCACCCCTGCCCCGGATCCCCCTCCCGGGGGTCTCCCAGGCCCGGTGGGCGCTGTGAGGGCCGGGCTGGTTCCCCCTCGGTGGGTTGGGGCTGGTGATGGCGGTGCCATCAGGTAATTAAGACGCTCCTAATCACCTCAAGGTAATTCAGGAACACCTCGCTGGGGGTTCAGGCTACGAGGGCAGGGGCTTTTTCCACTCTTAACACATAAAGTGCCTGTGAATCAGGTACCTCAAAGCCTTCTGTGCCCTCCTGGCACCTCTCCCAGCCCTTCCAGCACCAGCCCCGTGTGCCCTCAGCCTCCTCCTCCTCTTTGCAATGTGGGAAATCATTTCTGTCTTGCTGAGCTGGAGACTTTCCCCTCCGCTGCCTCTGTTTGTGCCAGTTTGTTGCTGCTGTTTCGAGGGGGGAAAATGTGCTGACTGGCCGAATTTTAGCAGCTATTTGCAGCTTAAAAAGGCAGCTAAATTTAAAACCGTATTAAAATTCCCCGGGACAGTTGCTCCTATTTTTATCTTTTTGGAAAAAAAAAAAAAAAAAAAAAACCACCAAACCTGCGAGTTTTCAGCGTTTTTTGTGTGGCCTAAATAAGAGTTATTTGTAGGTTATTTGTAGGGGGTGCGTTCTGCGACCTCCCCAGAGGGGAAAAGGGTTTGGGACCCCTCATCCCTCGGGGTTCTGAGCTTATCCCTCGGGCTGGGGATGCGTTCTGTGCTCGGGCAGGTTGTTTAGCTGTGTTTTTATTTCGGCAGGAGGATGGAGGGCGCCGCGGTGAACCTGCGGGGTCTGTACGATCAGCTGGTGCGCCAGGCCGAGGTTTTGAGCGAGGGGAGCGAATTCCGTGAGTTCTGTCGCCGAGAGACCTGCGGAGGGCGCTCGAAACGCTCCGATTTGGGCGGTTTTGGGTTGTTTTTTTTTTTTTTTGGAAAACAAAGCGCCGGGTGGAACTTTTACCTGGGTTTGTGCAGGGAAGGGGGGGGTCTGGTGTTCCAGCTCTTCTTCCAGGAAGGGCTGGGGCTGGAAAATGGGATTGCTCAGGGGCTGTGGTTGTGGTTATGGAGGTCCAGGACATCAGGAGGAATTTCCTTATGGAAACATTGGAAGGGGCTGCCCAGGGAGGTGTCCAAGGAAGGTGTGGATGTTCAGGACATCAGGAGGAATTTCCTCAGGGAAAAGGTCATTAGACACTGGCAGGGGCTGCCCAGGGAGGTGTCCAAGGAAGGTCTGGATGTTCAGGACATCAGGAGGAATTTCTTCATGGAAAGGGTTGTTAAACATTGGAAGGGGCTGCCCAGGGAGGTGGTGGATGGATTCCTCATCCCTGGAAGTGTCCAAGGAACGTCTGGATGTTCAGGACACCAGGAGGAATTTCCTCAGGGAAAGGGTTGGAAGGAGCTGCCCAGGGAGGTGTCCAAGGAATGTCTGGATGTTCAGGACATTGGGAAGAATTTCCTCAGGGAAAGGGTTGTTGGACACTGGCAGGGGCTGCCCAGGGGGGTGTCCAAGGAAGGTGTGGATGCTCAGGAGGAATTTCCTCAAGGCAAGGGTTGTTAAATGTTAGAAGGGGCTGCCCAGGGAGGTGGTGGTGGATTCCCCTTTCCCTGGAGGTGTCCAAGGAAGGTCTGGATGTTCAGGACACCAGGAGGAATTTCCTCATGGAAAGGCTTGTTAAACACTGGAAGGGGCTGCCCAGGGAGGTTTGGATTCCCCATTCCTGGAGGTGTTCAGGACATCAGGAGGAATTTCCTCAGGGAAAGGGTTGTTAAACACTGGAAGGGGCTGCCCAGGGAGGTGGTGGATGGATTCCTCATCCCTGGAAGTGTCCAAGGAAGGTCTGGACGTTCAGGACATCAGGAGGAATTTCCTCAGGAAAAGGGTTGTTGGACACTGGGAGGGGCTGCCCAGGGAGGTGGTGGAATCCAGGATTCTCCATTCCTGGAGGTGTCCAAGGAAGGTGTGGATGTTCAGGACACCAGGAGGAATTTCCTCAGGGAAAGGGTTGGAAGGAGCTGCCCAGGGAGGTGTCCAAGGAAGGTGTGGATGCTCAGGAGGAATTTTCTCATGGAAAGGGTTGTTAAACATTGGAAGGGGCTGCCCAGGGAGGTGTCCAAGGAATGTCTGGATGTTCAGGACACCAGGAGGAATTTCCTCAGGGAAAGGCTTGTTAAACATTGGAAGGGGCTGCCCAGGGAGGTGGTGGTGGATTCCCCTTTCCCTGGAGGTGTCCAAGGAATGTCTGGAGGTGGCACTGGGTGCTCTGGGCTGGGGGACAAGGTGGGGACGGGCCATGAGTTGGACTCGGTGATCCTGGAGGGCTTTTCCAACCCCAAGGATCCCGGGATTCAGCCTGGGCACCTCAAGCTGGGCCTGTTCTCCTTGCAGAGTTCCTCCAGCTGGCCAGGAACTTCGAGGAGTGCCGGAGGAGGTGGCAGAGGACGGAGCAGGAGCTGGGCAGGTACAAGGACCTGCTGATGAAAACGGAGGCCGAGCGCAGCGCCCTGGACGTGAAGCTCAAACACGCCAGGAACCAGGTGGATGTGGAGATCAAACGCAGGCAGAGGGCTGAGATGGACTGTGAGAAGCTGGTGAGTGAGTCCTCTGGTGCCCCTTGGCTTGGACAGCGTGGGGACAGGGTGGTTGAACCTGGGGAATGGTGGGAATTGAAATGTGGGGTTCGGGGGGAGGGAAAAAAAACCAGGGAGGGATTGAAAGGAGAGGGGAAAAAACCAGTGAGGAATTGGGTTGAGCTGGGAAAGGGAAAAAAAACAGGGAGGAATTGGCTTGATCTGGGAAAGGAGAGGGGGAAAAAACCAGCAAGGAATTGGCTTGATCTGGGAAAGGGAAAAAAAAAACAGGGAGGAATTGGCTTGATCTGGGAAAGGGAAAAAAAAAACAGCGAGGAATTGGGTTGAGCTGGGAAAGGAGAGGAAAAAAACCAGGGAGGAATTGGCTTGATCTGGGAAAAGGAGAGGGAAAAAAACAGTGAGGAATTGGGTTGAGCTGGGAAAGGAGAGGTGAAAAACCCGGAAGGAATTGGCTTGATCAGGAATTAGGGACAGTTTTGGGGTCTCCCATGACTCAGGGAAAGTTTTGGGGTCTCAAGGGACTCCGGACAGTTTTGGGGGTCTCCCAGGACTCAGGCGACAGTGTATGGCGTCTCCAGGACTCAGGGACTCGTTTATGGGCTCTCAGGAATCAGGGACAGTTTGGGGTCTACCAGGACTCAGGACCAGTTTTTGGGTCTCCCAGGCCTCAGGGGACAGTTATGGGATTCCCAGACTCAGGGGACAGTTTTTTGGGCGTCTCCCAGGACTCAGGGACGTTTTGGGGGTCTCCAGGGAATCAGGGACATTTTTGGGGTCTCCCAGGACTCAGGGGGACAGTTTTGGGGTCTCCCAGGACTCAGGGACGTTTATGGGATCTTCCCAGGACCAGGGACCGTTTTTGGGGTCCTCCCGGACTCAGGGACAGTTTTGGGGGGTCTCCCAGGGACTCAGGGACAGTTTGGGGCTTATCACATGACTAAGGGGACAGTTTATGGGGTCTCCCAGGACTCAGGGACAGTTTTGGGGTCTCCCAGGACTCAGGGACAGTTTATGGGATCTCACAGGAATCAGGGACAGTTTTTGGGGTCTCCCAGGACTCAGGGACAGTTTTGGGGTCTCCCAGGACTCAGGGACAGTTTTGGGGTCTCCCAGGACTCAGGGACAGTTTTGGGGTCTCCCAGGACTCAGGGACAGTGTCTCCAGCCCCTGCTGGGATCGGTGTGTTCCCAGGAGCGGCAGATCCAGCTGATCCGGGAGCTGCTCATGTGTGACTCCTCGGGCAGCATCCAGCTCAGCGAGGAGCAGAAGTCTGTCCTGGCCTTCCTCAACAGGCCCAAGGTCTCCGTGGGGGGCTCAGGCAGCAAAAGGTAGGAAAAAACAGCATTTTTTTTTTGCATTTTTTCCTGAAATGTCAGGTCTCTGTGCCACCTTCCACGCCCTGGCCAACAGCTTTCCAGTTTGAAATATGACTTTTGTGAGCCACTGGGATTGTTCTGGAGCTGAAACCAAAACTGATACAAATTTTTTCCTAATTTCTGGGTGTTTTTTTTTTCCAGGCTGTCCACAATAGATGAATCTGGCTCCATCCTGTCAGACATCAGCTTCGACAAGACCGAGGACTCGCTGGTAACGTCCCCCAAGTCCTGGGGTTCTCCTGCCCTGGAGGGCCTGAGGGCAGGGGGTTGTTCTCCAGAGCCCCCCTGTGTTTAGACCCCTGGGCTGTTCAGCTGGTTTGCATTTCTGAAAGCCCTGGCCAGTGGTGTTTTTGTGGAATTTGTGTGGGATTTACCTTCTGTGTCTCCCCCAGGACTGGGATTCCTCCGTGGTCAAAGCTGTCAGGCTGAAGAGGAGGGAGAAGAGGGTGAGTTTGTTCACCTTGGCAGCCACAGGTGCCACCACCTGCCACCTCAGTTGCTCTCTTTTCTCTGTGTGTGGAGTTTGTTGTCTTATTTTTTTTTTTTTTCCTTAGGCTGGGCTTCTTTTTTTTTTTTTTCTGAATTACAAAGCTGGGCTGGGAAAATCACTTTTAAAAAAAAGCAGCGTTTTTGAGGCCTCCCTGATTCCTCCTGGCAGCTTCAGGGTTGCCACGAGGAAGGGGGTGCTGCTGAAGGACTTGTCTGCCCACACCACAGGGTCATTAACTGCTCAGCCCTAATTACCCTGGACCAGCAGAACACCAAATTAACACCAAATTAAGAGCACTCCTGTCTCTTTTCAGCGCTCCTCCAGGCAGTTCACCGAAGGCCCCCCGGGTCCTCAGAAGAAATCCAGGTCCATCAGCAGCACAGCAGAGCAGGTTTGGTGATCCCAGGTGCCTGCAGGGGTGTTTCCTGCCACCCTCCCTGTCCCCAACCCCCTGTTTGTCACCCCAGGCCAACGAGTCCATCGTAGCCAAGACCACCGTGACGGTGCCCAACGACGGGGGCCCCATCGAGGCCGTTTCCACCATCCAGACCGTGCCCTTCCCTCGCAGGAGCCGCAGGAAGAGCGGTGGGTGTCACCCCCCCTGCCCTCATCCCCACCCCTCACACCTCAGCCACCCCCCTCCCAGCGCCTGGGAGCCGCTCCTGGTTCAGAATTCCCGAGTTTCCGTGGTTTTTCCAGGTGCTCTGCAGGCCTGGAGCAGCGAGTCCAGCGTGGGCAGCAAGCAGCTGGAGCCCAGGGTGGACACTGATGGCTCCAGCACCCCCCAGCACCACGGGGGGGTGAGGCTGCACGACTTCGTCACCAAAACGGTGGGTCTGGAGCCAGGAGGAGCCTGGGAAAGCACCTCCTTCCCCATGGAAGTGTGGGGGATGAGAGGCTGTGCCAGCTGTGCCAGGAGGGAGGCTGGGGTGGATCTCGGGGGGAAAAGAGAGGGTGGTGGGCACTGCCCAGGGTTTGGGCACGGCTCTGAGGGTGCCAGAGCTCCAGGGGGGTTTGGGTGATCCTCCCAGGGTTTGGATGATCCTCCCAGGGTTTGGGCACAGCTCTGAGGGTGCCAGAGCTCCAGGGGGGTTTGGATGATCCTCCCAGGGTTTGGATGATCCTCCCAGGGTTTGGGTGATCCTCCCAGGGTCTGGATGATCCTCCCAGGGTCTGGGTGATCCTCCCAGGGTTTGGACACAGCTCCAGAGCTCCAGGAGGGTTTGGATGATCCTCCCAGGGTTTGGATGATCCTCCCAGGGTTTGGGCACAGCTCTGAGGGTACCAGAGCTCCAGGAGGGTTTGGATGATCTCCCAGGGTTTGGGCACAGCTCTGAGGGTACCAGAGCTCCAGGAGGGTTTGGATGATCCTCCCAGGGTTTGGGTGATCCTCCCAGGGTTTGGGTGATCCTCCCAGGGTTTGGGTGATCCTCCCAGGGTTTGGGTGATCCTCCCAGGGTTTGGGTGATCTCCCAGGGTTTGGACACAGCTCCAGAGCTCCAGGAGGGTTTGGATGATCCTCTCAGGGACAGGGTGGGATTTTGGGGTGTCTGTGCAGGGCCAGGGGTTGGACTGGAACCCCTGTGGTTCCCTTCCAGCTCGGGATATTCTCATTCTGTGACTCTGGCTCGGGTCACCATGACCTGTCCCCGTTCCCTGCCCTGCTCAGGGAACACCTCACCCAGTGTAACCCCTGCTCAGTGACCCCCTGCCCTGATCCCTGCCCTGATCCCTGCCCTGATCCCTGCCCTGATCCCTGCCCTGATCCCTGCCCTCTGTGGGCTCTGCACCTCCAGGTTATCAAGCCAGAATCGTGTGTCCCCTGTGGGAAGAGGGTGAAGTTTGGGAAGATCTCCCTCAAGTGCAGGGACTGCAGGGTGGTGGCTCACCCCGAGTGCCGGGAGCGCTGCCCCCTCCCCTGCATCCCCACCCTGGCAGGGACTCCAGTCAGGATTGGAGAGGTGGGTCAGGATGGGGAGGTGGGTCAGGATGGGAGAGGTGGGTCAGGATGGAGAGGTGGGTCAGGATGGAGAGGTGGGTCAGGATGGAGAGGTGGGTCAGGTATCAGAGAGAGGTGGTCAGGATTGGAGAGGTGGGTCAGGATGAGCGGTGGGTCCGGGTCAGAGAGGTGGGGGTTCCGGATGAGAGGTGGGTCAGGATGGAGAGGTGGGTCAGGGATGGAGAGGGGTGTCAGGATGGGAGGGGGTAGGATGGAGATGTTGTTCCGGATGGAGACGTGTGGGTCAGGGATCAGAGCGGGGCGTCAGCGGATGGACTGAGAGGGGGGTCAGAGGAGAGGTGGGTCAGATGGAGATGGGGTCAGGGTCAAGAGGGGTGGGGTCAGGGTCAGAGAGGTGGGTCGGATGGAGAGGTGGGTCACAGGATGGAGAGCGGGTCAGTGTAGAGAGTGGGTCCAGGATGGTGAGAGGTGGGTCAGGATGGGAGGGTGGGTCAGGATCAGAGAGGTGGGTCAGGGTCAGAGAGGTGGGTCAGGATGGGAGAGGTGGGTCAGGATCAGAGAGGTGGGTCAGGATCAGAGAGGTGGGTCAGGATGGAGAGGTGGGTCAGGATGGAGAGGTGGGTCAGGATCAGAGAGGTGGGTCAGGATGGAGAGGTGGGTCAGGGTCAGAGAGGTGGGTCAGGGCTGGAGAGGTGCTGATGGATGTGCTGTTGTTGTTGTTCTTCTCTGGGCTGATGAAGAATTAAAACCAATTCCTGTTTTCCAAGCTCAGATCTCTCCTTGAATCCCTGGGAGAGCATTTCCCGCCTCTCCACGACTGAACATCTCCCTGCTTGTTTTTCCTTCTTGCCTCTTAGGGGACCCTGCTGGATTTTGTGCCTTCCACTCCTCCCATGATCCCTTCCATCATCGTGCACTGTGTCAATGAGATCGAGCAGCGAGGGCTGCACGAGGTAAAGAGAGAAGCAGAGAATCCCAGAATCCCAGAATCCCGGAATCATGGAATCAGCTGGGTTGGAAGGGACCTCCCAGATCATCCAGTCCAACCCTTGATCCAACCCCGCCGTGGTTCCCAGCCCATGGCACTGATGCCACATCCAGTCTGTCCTTAAACACCTCCAGGGATGGAGAATCCACCCCCTCCCTGGGCAGCCCATTCCAAGGGCTGAGCACCCTCTCTGCAAAGAAATTCTTCCTGATCTCCAACCTAACCCTCCCCTGGCACAGCTGCAGACCCAGCCCTCTTGTCTTGCTGATGGGAAAAGAGACCAACCCCCCCCGGCTCCCCCCTCCTGTCAGGGAGTTGCAGAGAGTGAGGAGGTCTCCCCTGAGCCTCCTCTTCTCCAGGCTGAGCCCCCCCAGCTCCCTCAGCCTCTCCTCACAGCACTTGTGCTCCAGTCCCTTCCCCAGCCTCGTTGCTCTCCTCTGGCCCTGCTCCAGCCCCTCCATGTCCTTCCTGAGCTGAGGGCCCAGAGCTGGACACAGCACTCCAGGGGTGGCCTCCCCAGCGCTGAGTCCAGGGCAGGAATCACCTCCCTGGCCCTGTTGGCCACCCTGTTCCTGAGCCAGGCCAGGATCCATTGGCCTCTTGTCCCCCTGGGCACACTCTGGCTCCTGTTCAGCTCCCTGTCCATCCCAAATCCCAGCTCCCTTCCTGCCTGGCTGCTCTCCAGCCCCTCTGTCCCCAGGGGGGTTGTTGTGGACCCAACCCTTGGCCTGCTTGACCCTCATCCCCTTGAAACAGCCCCAATGAACCGGGTTGTCAACCCAAATATCCCTGATTTTGTGGGTGGCTGAGGGAGCAGCAGCAGAGCTGTGCAGAGGAGCTGGGGCTGGAAGAACCTCAGCGTTCTTCCCAACCTCCCAAGGCTTCCTGTGCCCCCCCAGACCGGCCTCTACCGCGTCCCCGGCTGCGACAAGACCGTGAGGGAGCTGAAGGACAAGTTCCTCAGGGCCAAGAGCATCCCCCTGCTCAGCAAGGTGGACGACGTCCACGCCGTCTGCGGCCTCCTCAAGGACTTCCTGCGCAGCCTCAAGGAGCCCCTGCTCACCTTCCGCCTCAACAAGGCCTTCATGGAGGCTGCAGGTCGGGAATTCTGCCCTGGGAACCTCCAGCTCCTTCCCTAGGCTTGGGTTCAGCCAGATCTTGGAAGCTGCAGGTTGGGAATTCTGCCCTGGGAAGCTCCAGCTCCTTCCCTAGGCTTGGGTTCAGCCAGATCATGGAAGCTGCAGGTCAGGAATTCTGCCCTGGGAACCTCCAGCTCCTTCCCTAGGCTTGGGTTCAGCCAGGTCTTGGAAGCTGCAGGTCAGGAATTCTGCCCTGGGAACCTCCAGCTCCTTCCTCAGGCTTGGGTTCAGCCAGGTCTTGGAAGCTGCAGGTCGGGAATTCTGCCCTGGGAACCTCCAGCTCCTTCCTTGGGCTTGGGTTCAGCCAGGTCTTGGTTCCCTGTGCCTGAGCTCTGGTGTGAAATTATTACCATGACAGGAGGATTTTCTGGCTGCCTTTTTTCCCCCAGAGTAGCTGTGGCTGTGAGGGGGATTTCAAGGTCTAAATGTTGCTTTTTTTGGTTCTTTTCCCCCCCCCAGAGATCCCAGACGAGGATAACAGCGTGGCTGCCCTGTACCAGGCGGTGGGAGAGCTGCCCCAGGCCAACAGGGACACCTTGGCTTTCCTCATGCTCCACCTGCAGAGGTACCTGGTGATCCTGGAGGGTCCCTCCCAACCCAAACCACTCTAATTCCCAAAAAAGGATGTTCCTTTCTCTTGTGATGGACAGGAAGGGTTAAAACCAGGAGATCTTTGAGGTCTCTCCCAACCCAAACCACTCTGATTCCCAAATGATGTTCCTTTCTCTTGGGCAGGGGGGGTTAAAACCAGGAGATCTTTGAGGTCCCTCCCAACCCAAAGCACTCTGTGATTCCCAAAAAAGGATGTTCCTTTCTCTTAATGGGCAGGGGGTTAAAACCAGGTGATCCTGGAGGGTCCCTCCCAACCCAAACCACTCTGATTCCCAAATGATGTTCCTTTCTCTTGGGCAGGGGGGGTTAAAACCAGGTGATCTTTGAGGTCCCTCCCAACCCAAACCACTCTGATTCCCAAAAAAGGATGTTCCTTTCTCTTGTGATGGGCAGGAGGGGTTAAAACCAGGTGATTTTGAGGTCCCTCCTAACCCAAACCACTCTGATTCCCAAAAGAGGACATTGATTTCTCTTATGAGCATAAATTCTTCATTTTGGGGCAAAAAAACCTCCTCCAGAGGCTGAAGTGTGTGTGTGTGTGTGGTGGGGAAATAAAAAACTGCTTTACCATAGGGGAGACAATTAGAATCGTGTATATAATGTATTATAATATTTATTTGTGCAGTGACTGTGACATAATTCCCTTTTCTCCCCCATACTGAGTCTTGTGCTGTGTCTGGAAAACCCCCCTCAGGCTGGGGGAGAAAATGGGATTTTTGGGGGTCTCCAACCACAGTGTGGGAGGAGGGAGGTGTGTGATAAGTGCAGGGGAGGAGCCACATCCTTTATTATTCTCTTTTCCAGGGTGGCTCAGAGCCCTGACACCAAGATGGACATCTCCAACCTGGCCAAAGTGTTTGGCCCCACCATCGTGGCCCACGCCGTCCCTGACCCCGACCCCGTGACCCTCCTGCAGG